AAAAAAAAAAAAATTTACATATACTTTGATATGGAAAAATAATCTTACTTAATATAGTAATTTTTTTTCGAATGTTATAAAGTAATATAGTCTTTTAAAACTAAACAATGAAAAATTTTAAATTTTTAAAGTTGTAATTTTGAATTAAATAATAATTAAAATTTAGTTAAATTGAATGAATTCTTTAAATTTTTTTTAAATAATACTACACGCAATAAAAAGAATTTAAAAAATAACACCTATAGTAAAATAAAATTAATATGAAATACCAAAACATGTAAGCTTTTGAATGACCCATGTCCTCAGTACTTACATGTGAAATATTATAATAATAGGTTTATATATAAAAGAAAAGTTTACTAAATCAGTGTAAAATTAAGTAACCATTTTTCTGTATAGTCATAAAAAAATAAAAAAAAAAAAAAAATGTAACCTCATATACATACTTAAACTTAATGTTAAAATAATCCTACATAATATAATGGATTCTAATACATTTAACTGTTCTTAAAAGAATATAGTAAAATAAAAATTAAAAAGGAAAATATTTCAAATCGTAGTTAAATAAAAAAAGTAAAAAAAAAAAAATCTTTAATTTTAAAAATGACAAAAAAAATTTTTACCGTTAAATTTTTTTTTTACAATTTTTTTTTTTTTTTTTAAATTCAGACGACATCCATTCAACTGACGTCAGGTTTCATTGTAAAATACATCCTCACCCCTTACCAAAATGTAGCTAATAACTGATACAATGATACGGACATAAGGAAAATCTAGACACCCCGTGTTCAATTTGAGTAGAATATTCTGTAACCATGGAAACGTGATTTTAGCTGTGTATTTAAAACCCGGTAAATTTTAAAAGTTACTCCAAAATTCGCTTGAAGATGAAATGGAACTATATATATTTTAATTTATTTGCAAAAAATAAAATTAGGGTTTTAGCTTCTATTTTTGAAACATGGTTGAACTGTGTAGCGAAAATAACCATATTTTAAATCAATTAATTTATAATATTAATGCTCTGTAAATTTACATTGAGCACTATTTTGTAAAAATAAAATATCTATAAGAACACCGGATTTTATATCTTACTGTTCTTTTTTTTTATTTATATATATATATATATATATATATATATATATATATATATATATATATATATATATATATATATATATATATACTATAGCATGCCCGGCGTTGCCTGTGCTTGATTCAAAAATCGTACGACTCATACAACAATCGCTATCACTTGACTTAAAATATTTTTGTCCTTCCTTTTTTTTTAAAAGAGTGTCCTTTGCCGCATTGATGTTATTTACATGCCTTACTGAAATATCTCACACTGCGAATTTTTTTCTAAACTCTATACTAAACATTAAAAATTTATTAAAAAAAGAACTAAACAAAATGAACACAAAACGATCAGCTTTAAAAAAGGACTCGTAACTGGAAAACCGAATGAAAAAAGAATTTAAAACAAAATACATTTTTACACCCAACCCAGTTCTGCGGAATCAGAATCAACGTTGAGTTTAAGCAAGCGAATGAGCCAATTGGAATAAAAGTTTTATGCAGATTTAAATTTTTCCCATTTGTGACGAATGCAGCTATCGATTTTTTTTGCATGCTAGCATGCTAATTTAACATTTGTGTCAGTCAGCTGTTTAAATCACGCTGGCCATTAGAATTTTTCTTGCCTATTCGTGGCAGTTTTTGATATAGAAATTAACTCTTTTTTATTTTACAAAATATTAGAAAAGGAAAAAAAAATGACGATAATTTACCCATATATATTTAAAAAATATATATATATATATATATATATATATATATATTGTGATATATAAATAAATATATATATATATATTTTAATTTTGATATACTAAATATGTATATATATATATATATATATATATATATATATATATATATATATATATATTAATTTGTGATGGGTAAATTGTCGTCATTTTTTTTTTAATTTCTGCGCATAAATTTTTTTTTTATTTTTGTCGATTGCACAGTATATAGGGTCAGTTGGGCACCCTCTTGAGAAAAAAAAAAATGATGCAATTTGCCCAGCCAGAAATTTAGAAGCGGCACGCTGTATTAATTGACATTCGCGCCGAAAAGTCCAGTACGAAGATTTTAGTGTTTGGTGTCAATCTGAATGGCTATTAAAGAGAATTAAAAAGAATTTGGATGAGTATTTTAATTTTTGAATGATTACGAATTTTATTGACGGTAAAGAACTCGGATACAATTTAAATGAAATATAGTCTAAAAAAAAAAGATAATAATGGAAATATTTTAAAGTTGTAATTAAAATAGTAGTTAATTAAAATGAATTCTAAACTAAACTTCTTTTAAATTGTAATTAAATAAATAAATAAAGTTTACTAAAATAGAGAAATGAAAAGCTTTTTTTTTGCCGTAAAAAAAAAAAAAAAATTTTACTTAAAAAATATTTAAATATAAAAAAATTTTTAAAAATTTTAATATAAATATACTTGATATAGAAAAATAATTTTACTGATGGTAAGTAACATTTTACTTCTATTAAATGAAATATAGTCTAAAAACTAATAATGAAAATATTTTAAAGTTGTAATTAAAACTTAAGTTAATTAAAATGAATTCTAACCTAAAAATTTTTTTTAATTTGTAATTAAATAAATAAATAAAATCTACTAAATCGAGTAATAAAAAATTTTAATTTAGAAATATTTAAATATAAAATTTAAAAAAAAAAATAATATGAATGTTGTCGGATGTTAATAATATTAATACATTCATATTTTCTCACTTAAACCGTCTTTGACTCTCTCTCTCTAAAACTTCTCTCTGTTAAATTTTAATCCCCACCTTCTCTCGTCTGTTACCCTCCCTCTCTTTATAACTAACATTCGTTATACACTCTCATTATACACTCTCACTAAATTTTATTTTTTATTTCGGAGTTGTTTTTCTTTTTTCTTTTTTGAATTTGTAGGTCTGATGAATTGGATCGTATTTACGATTCCAATGGAATAAATTACGACCATGGAATATTAGTGTTTATTTTTTTTTTTTATTGTATCATTATCTGTCCTAGACATTGAGTTCTACCTGGATTCTATCCTCTCGGAATTTTTTTATTAAAAAAATGTATGTGTATGTGTAGGCACCTATGTATATATATTTATATATTTCGCATATATATGTGTATATTTACCAATAATATTATATATTTATATATATATATATTTCTTATTTTCTGTTTCATGCTAGATGCAATCGTCAGGCCTGACGATTGCATATAGCATGAAACAGACTGTCGCCTCTAATTGTTGATTTTATGTTCACTTATATATATATATATATATATATATATATATATATATAAACTGAAATATATTTATATTCAGCTAGATAGATAGATAGATAGATGCACACATTTACTGAGGTTTTTTTTTGATTCCTTATCAGCATTCAATATCTGTGCATTTCATTGGCTTTAGGAAAGGTCGCAAACTGCAAGCCAAGAGAAAAAGGTAAGCGGATGGGGTCCTTTGCTCGCTGGGATGTGCTGCAAGAACATGAGTAATTTTAATGGCATTTTCTTCTCTCTATCTCTCTCTCACTCACTCACTTTCTTTATCTCCCTCTCTCATATAAACACACAAACATGTACGCACACGCGCACACACACAACACACACACGCACTATCGCTTACAAATACTTACAAACCTTACCACCTACTACCAGCGCCCAAAACTTATAACCCTCACCTCGTGAGCCACTCTGGGCCTCGGGCGGCAAACTTTCTCTCTTTATCGCAATTTTTTAAATTATTCGTACCCGCCACTTTCCCCCCACCATTGTTAATATTATTTAACCACTTCTAACATGACGTCGGTTTTTTTAATAATATAATTTAATAATAATAATAATAATAATAAATTTACAAATAACAAAATTGGCAAATGTAAAAACCGTCTTCTCCTTGGCTCTCATGATTGAATGATATCACGTGACCTCGGGACACCACTGGACGCCATCTTGGTATCATCTTGATTTCATTCGTTGTTAGACAAAATTTTTATCGTTTTTATTTTATTTCATTTTGATTATTATTATTATTATTATTATTATTATTATTATTATTATTATTCACGTTTCAGATGTCGGAAATGTTGATGCTAAGAAATTGCTTTCTATGTGTTCCTTTTTTTTTTACCGAGTTTGATACCGGAAAAAAAGAAGAAGAAAGAAATAAACTTTTTCGACGATTGTCTTTTCTTTGTTGTTTGGAATAAGTTCGCTAGAGGAATATATAAACAATGAAATTGTTTTGCCAACTGACAGGCAAAATAAAGAATTTAGATAGAGAATATATAAGTTAGAAATTTAAGATTAAATTTAAAAAATCCAGATATGTTCAAAAATTATATGACAGATTAGGTTTGTTTTAAACAAGTTGGGTGGGAAAAAGATGCTGGTCTTTAATTAAAAGGAAAAGAATATTTGGACTGCAGCTTGGTGGTTATGCATACGGATCCGATTCTGAATCTCAACTGGCAGTGATTGTGTTCACTTAGTCCCGGTATCCTTATGAAAGGCATGAATCTACTCCCTCCCTGCAACTAAAAAATGGTTTTGTGTTTAGCACACACACACACACACACACACACACACACACACACACACACACATACATACATGCAAACTGATAGATAGATAGATAGATAGATAGATAGATAGATAGATAGAAGCAGTGTGAACATAGAAAAAACACTATATGGCAAATGTCATGACCAGTGCGATGTCCAGACATTGAAACGTAAAAAAATTATGAAATGAACTTTTTCGACGACTGTCTTTTCTTTGTTGTTTGTAATAAGTTCGCTAGAGAAACATATAAACAAAGAGAATCCTTTTCCAAATTACAGATGCAGTGTTCATTTCTTTGTCTGCACTTTATATACGATACTGATAACTTCTTATTGCAAAC